TGGCAGGGGGTTGGATTAGATGATCCTTAGAGGTCCCCCCCAACCCCCTCCACTCTGTGAATCTGTGAATCTCTGTATCGTGTGAATATGGGGGGGGGCATAACTCACACAGTCTAGCTGGATTTCAAAAAAGCTTTTAATTTTTTTTTTTTTCAAAGGCTTTCCAAGAAACAAGTGGGATGAAGGAAAAGACAGAAAACAGGGTAATACTGTGTGCCCAGTTTTTACAGTGGAAGAAGGTTATCATTTCTGCAGGGACCTCAGCTTTTCAGCAAAGAGCCAGAAAAGCAGCAGGCAAATGTGATTTTGAAGTTTGCTGATACTACTAATGAGTGAGACTGATGGTTTATGACAAATAGTTCCATGAAAATAAAATATCACCTTTGTCTTCAGAAGCAACCAAAAAGGCAAATCAAATGCTAGATACTACCGAGAAAGCAACAGCGAACAGGAGGGGGTGTCAGCATTATGGCACTTTATAAAGTGTGTAAAGTGCCATAATGTGTTGTCCACACCATGAACACTGGATGCAGCTCTGTTTTTCCCATCAAAGGATGTCTCTAGTAGAACTAAAAGACAGACCAGAGAAGGCCAGCAATGATGGCCACAGGCGTGACATAACTTCTGTATGAGGAATTAATAGAGTAGGCTCTCCACTGCCAAAAGATGATCCAGATGCAGCTACTGCTAAAGAGACCACAATTTTTTACCCTTCATCACATGCTAAATCAATACTAAGTGTTTTCAGAGTGAGAAAGTATCAGACCTGACAAAACAGCACAATCATGGAGAGTTAAAGGCATAGTTTGTCGGGTTGAGACTGTTGATTCACAATCCAAACAAAAAGCAGAAAAAAATGTACCAGAAAGCCATAAAGCTCAGCAGGGTAATGTTGGTAAGGACTAGCCCTGGAAACACAGCAGCAGAAGCAATGAAGAGGAAGAGTCACTTTTGCACTCTGCCAGAATCACTGTATATAGTAAGTTCTGCAGAGAAAGAGAGCTAAGGTAAGCAGGAGGAGGAGACAACGTGAGTGTGGACATGCCAGCACACTAGCTGAGGAAAGGAGGGAGGTGAATTCCAAAAACAAAGAGAGGCAGGGAGGGACACAACTCTGAGCCGAGGACCTGAAGGAGTGAAAGCAAGTTGAGGGATCCCAAGAAAGCACGCTAGTTTGCCTCAGGCAAGCGCAATGGCCATGACCTTATCTGCTACGGTATGTGTAATTTGAGGAGGAGTGGCAAACCAACCAGAAGGGACAGAGAAGAGGTGGCTCATTTCAGCTCCTGAAAATGCCTGCTTTCCAAAACAAGATGTAGAGCTTATATTGGATTAAGCAGCAGATTCACAGAATGCGAATATTAGCAGAGCTGCTTCAAAAGCCTGAGAGAAAGGGGAAAACACAATGTGGGAGTTTTTTGCTTTCACACTGACATTTTTCACATTGGTTTTGGAGGAAAAAAGTAGTACTTGGGAGTTAAAGCATTATGCACCATGCATAAAAACAGTGTTTAAATTTGTTGATTTTTTTGTTACATTGTACTATATTGTACCGCATAGTCACAGAAAAAAAAGGTTGCTGCACTGAGTAAACATAATCACATTTCAAATGATACATTAACATGTAAATTTCTCTGTGAATAGACTGCTAGCTTTTTTTAATTTACACAGGCAGAAAGATGACTGTTAACAGCAATGCAATGTGGCCACCCATACTGTTGTGTGGATTTAAATGACTGCTGTGATTTAAAAAAAACAAGAGCACAGTCATGAGTTTCGACAAACGCTATAGAATAATACATGACGTGACTATCCATCAGGTACTTAGCAGTCATGGGGGAGATAAGGACCTGAGGCACAGTTAATAGGATTTAGCTGTTATTAATTTAAGGGACTCTGTGAAATGATTTTCAGATTAAATACCACAGCATCCATTTTTGTATAAGCAAACCAGAAAACCTAGAGGAATTTTTCTCTAATAACCCCAAAATCTCAAAAACCACTTAAAGTAAAAAGCAAACTGTTCCTCCTAGCTGTCAACAGTCACCCCAGCACCCTCCTACCAAGTAGGACGGGAAGGACCTGCAGAATTCCATGACAGTGACTAACCAAGTCCCAGGCGGTGACAGCAGGGACAGCTCCACAGCACTTGGTGCCACGAGGCACATTTTAACGAAGACACCAGATCTGGCAACATCAGCTCTACACGGCAGACCAACAGCTTTGGCTGACAAAAGGCAAGTTCGCTTCCAGCTCTCGGTTCTGCACAGTGCAATCTGGGACATTACTACGCCTCGCTCCTGAGAGGTTGGGAGACTTCCCTAATCCTTCAAGGAGCAGGCTGAACTCACCTGGTATAAAGTTGGAGTCCAAAGCACAGGGTCGGCTCTCCGTGGTGTTGCCCGTGCACTGGCTGCCCACGGGAAACAAAATGATGCACTGACGAACACGGAACTGGAAGCCAGACGAGTCACAGTTGGACCACTCGGACCACTCGGACCAGCTGTCTGCAACAGGCAGAGAGGGACACACACGCAGACGCTGCAATTAAATGCTTCAAGTAGACTGAGTGAGAGAGAAATAGCCTGGTATTTCTGAATTATGACAGAAGGCCTCATCCCCAGCCACCACCAACTAACAGAGGACAGCTCTTTCATTATGATAAAACAAAGGCAGTTTGGCTTCAGCAAAAGTCTCTGAAATGTAGAGTGTTACGGTAAATTTGTCGCAGATGTATTTTGGCTTTGTCTCTGCCACAGACTTTGTGTGTGGAAGTGAGAAGCCGGGGGGATTCTGCGGTGTTGACTGAACGAGTGACTGCTGTGGAGTTAATTCCAGTCTAGGTCGTTAGGGTGGACAATCACACTGTCTTTTTATTTATGTACCTGACAAGTAGCAATGAGAGCTATAAGAGTATGTATTCCAGGTCTGAAACAGGATGTGTATTTAACCACAAAAAATCGTAGTACCTTGAAGATACTTAGCTTTTATTTCAGATCCATTTCTTTGCTGTAGATAAAAGAGTTCTCATCGCTTATTCTCACCTTCTCTTCCCCATTCGGTTCATATCATTGTTTCTCTATATTTCTTCTTCTGCCTATGCAGTTTTGATTAAGACACTTTTATTTCATGCTCGTGTGATCTCGGAACACTTCCTTTAAATGAAGTGAATTGATCTAATTCCCATGAGGTGCTGTGAGTTTACTGAGCTCAGCTTTCTTGCAATTCAAGTACAAGTCTTACCTTCTTAGAAGTCTTTCGAGTTTGGCAAGTATAGTAAAGACAGAGCTCAGTTAATCTTTATTCTTTCTTCTGCCAGCTTTCCCACTGAGATAGGTTTTATGGTTTTGATAAGGAATAAATAGTCCTGCTATCACAAACCAAGTTTGTTTCTTATTAAAAATTTAAATTGAATATGAAGCAGATTTACAAATTTAATTTTGCTTCAAATAAAAGAAGCATATATTAACCTAATTTTGTTTTGAGTTTGATCAAAGAACATTAAAATGAAATAATTTGGGAAATTCATGAAGCTTTTATATACTTTTTGTGAATTGGGTGTAAAATCAGGAAAATCTTACACTGTTTTGGGCCCCTTTCAATGCATTGCATAAATCCAGCATGTTCACATGTAATCGTTACTGTCTCCTTGGCCATAGAGGAAGAAGTTAAGACTCTCAGTCATCTAGAATATTAGAGATTCTGGCAGGAATATTTGAGACTGCAGTCTTGAAAAATGTCAAACAATGGATGCTTTCCATGACAGTGTTGGCCATTCACTTCCTAACCAATAGCACACTAAAAAGAAATGGATGGAGTAGACTGACATAACTCTGACATAACTTTAGCACAGGAAATCTCAAGCAGTTGCCCTGGGACCATTTCAAGACAGTAGGAGAGTGCTAGTTAGAGACAGCAGTGATCAGTCTGAGCAATATGCACACCATCACTTGTGGAGTTGTTCATAAAATAGACTCACTCAGCAACTCAGGTGAAAACTTGGATATTGATATTTATAAACAATTAGCAACTGTCTGGATGGGGCCTCCTTTGAACAACAGGGCAAATACCTTGAGATAGGCAGCTGATGTCAAACAGTAGGACCTTGTTATTTATGGAGCAAGAATACTCAGCTCTGCCCTTTGGCTCTCCTGTTTCCTGTGAGAGGTCCTGGGATGGCCTCATTTGCAGAGTGGGTAGTAGGAGCATGGAGGCAGGTGACATAATGTAATTGATCTTTATTCAGGTGGTTAGGAGAGTCGAGGTGGGAGTCAAGCAAATGGACAGGCTTCTTCCTGCTTACACAGCATGGCACATCAAGGAGCTGCTGTTGGCACTGCCAGTGTCAGCTGCTGGACCTATGTAAACTAAGTACATAGATCCTTACCTTAAATATTTAGTAACAATAAAGCCCTGCTTTTTCAGGTCCAACGGCCTGCTACTCATTACAAATCTTGGCCCAGTTCTCATCAGTGGCAGAGAACGTGCTTAAGGCAGTTCTTGTCCTGTCCTGGTATAAGGTGGATATATGCAGCAGCTGCCACAATTTTTGTGAGCATCCTAAACGCAGCTTGTTGGCTGCTGCACTTAGCAGCCCCGGTTTGTCCTGTGTTGGAACACAATGTTCCCTGCTGAATGGGCTACATCCTGTGATAAAATAGGAGCCTCAGGGTAGGTGTAGATCATGATAGGCCATACACTGGTGACTGAGCAAGGCTACTGTTTCAGCCTGCCCTTTGGTCCTATAAAAGACACCGTGTGCACTGGGACCTTCCCACATATGCAACACACAGCATCTCCCTCCCACCCTGAGTCCCAGGGTGCAGCCCAGGCATTACAGCCCAGGTCTGGTGCCATGCTGACCAGCTCCATCTGGCTGATCCACAGAAGCACAGAGAGGAGAGAGGGGACATCAGTGCAAATGTGAGAGGGATGGACATTCCTGCAATGGCGGATGCTGGTATGAAACCTGTGTTTTGAGGAATGCTCCTGCTGGGACCTCAGAGAGTCACACAGAAGTAAGGCACTGACAGCTATATCGGTTCAAATTGGCAGACCTGCCCTTCGTGGAGCCACTATCTCTGCCATCACAGAGATGCTGAACCCACAGCCTTTGCATACACTTCTACAGACTCCGTTATCCTGCTCATCCCTTTGGTTTATCTTCAAAGTATCTGAGGCTCTCCTGCACCTCAGGCAGGCTCTTCTGAACTTGCTGCTCAGCTCTTTGCCAAAGTCATGAGAATGGAAAAGAGGGGATGGACTGGAGAGGTGTTTGATCTGGAACTGCTTTTCACTTCTAACATAGCAATGCTTACTCAGATGTCATGTCTTCTTCCTAAAGAGTCTTGGCTGGCCTTTGAAGCCAGGTTAAGTCCAAGCAGTTCCTCAAAGATCCCTCGGTGAAGAAGGCACCTCAGAAAGATCAGGCTAACAGTCTGTAAGATTATAAATTACTTTCATACAGATCTACACCATCATTTCTAAATGCTCAACTGTTTTATCCATTGTTTGCATGTGTGAGTTAGCAATTCAAGGATAGAGTATATTTTCCTATCTTACAGCAGCAGTAAATACTTTAGGTATAAAATACTGCTTTATTCAGTACACAGCAGACACCATTGCAGACCATTACACTTACTGATAAGCAGCCTATAAACCACTACTGATCAATAGTGAAGCTCTTCCATTCATGTTAATGTGATTGCCTTTGGATACATTAAGAAAAAAAGAAAAAAAAAACAAACCCACAGTGATATAGATTTTAAAATGAAAGATGAGAAAAACTGATGTATTTTGCAGACGTCTATTACTTTTTTTAAGTGCATACTTTCTGTTAGATTTGCCATTAACCCCCCATATCCTCATGAAATCCTTATTATCAGGATTCCAGAAATTTTAGTTTTCTGCTGGTTTTGTTTGGCCAAGAAAAGGTACTATTTAAAATACCAAGAAATACATGCTCTTTTCACAAGTTAAGAAAAAATGTAATTTCATTTTTGCATAGGCATTTCTGCGTTGGTTGTTCTTAGATCCCAAGTGTCACTGCTATTCCATTCTTATATTAAACACATAACTCAAGCAGTGAATGTCATCCATGGTACTTCCAGACCTGCACAAGGAAGAACCACTAGCCACAAGATCCTCACCACAAGAAAAGGGCTCTGCAGGGATGCAGGAGTCTGTCCAAACCTGACATGTGCAGCACTGCACAGTTATTTCTGTCCCATACCCACGTGAAATAAGAGCAGTAAAAAAATTTTGAGATCTGCATTGTAAACAGGAGGCAAGGGCTGTTCTCAGAGCTAGTTGATGATGTACTGTTTCAAAAAACTATGGCAAATTTTCAGAGAGATTAAAATATTAATAAAACAACACAGAATGTGGGAAATACATTTCACCCTCTGAAATTTTATTGCTTTATAAAAGTTTTCTCTTTCTTGAACCAAAATGAAACCAACCTCCTCCTTCTCCACCCACCTAGTACAAAATTTGTGTTACAAGCAGGTCAAAATAAGCTGAAGAGATTATTCAGAAATGTTTGCAAACTGACGTTTCTAGAAAAGCAGTGGTAGAAAATAAATGCACAACAAGAGAAATAGCTACAATATTAGCACAATGAATGGGCCAATTTTGACCTTTTGAAGATGCCTTAAGGATCCCAAGGCAGCTATGGAACTTCTACACACAAAAGTATACTATCTGTCTTGAAAAATCAAATCATCAACTGATTTCTGTGTTTAAGGGTTTTTTAAACACAATACAGAGTGTTGCATCTGCTTTAATTTTGACAAAATAGGTACTTTTATTCTGCTGCAAGACATGCAGTGCCTAGGAAATTAACTTAAACTGTAGTTCAGCACAGGTAATAGGATCCATAAATTCAAATTCCTGGGGCTTTTGCCTTCAGGTGGACAACCTCATCATATAAGCAGAAAACTTTTGCTATGAAGTCTAGGAGCTCTAAGTGAAGCAAGTAATACAGTGTGGAATTAGAGCTGCTAATTTCCATTTGCTGTTGCCTGTAATCTATTCATCAGCGATAAATGAAAACAAGTTTTCCCGCTGGCTTTCCACCAATGATGTTAACTGTTTTTATATGGTTTTACTCTCTATTTTTCACTTAGATTTCATCAAAAAAGTGATTTTTCTTTAATATGGGTCAAAAGGCAGAGTCAAAGTTACAGAAAAAAGTCATGATCCATAACATACAACTAGCAGGAGTGACAAGGCATTTCATTTACTAAGTACCCCACAGTAATTTAAAAGGGGAAGTCTCTGCTCCTCCCTATCTGAAGTTGAAGAGTGTGTTTTACAAAGAACATTAAGGTTTGCTCTGTGTTTTATACAAAAACAGGGCAAACATTACCGAATTATAGGACCCTGTGATAGCATGTGTTGACTATTAACCACAGCAATCTACTTGCTGTGAATGTCTACTGTTCTAACAAATGCAATTCTTCGTGATATTGTTATTAAAAGTCTCCCAGGCCGTTTGCATGATCCA